ACAAGGTCAGTAATTGTATGATGTGTGTGCTTAAGGCTTTAGAAAACACACTGAAAAGAATTTGTCCTTCTGCAGAGAAAAAAGAAAATTAATCTTTATAGTTTAAGAAACTGTGTCATTAAGAAGACAAGCTGACTCTGGAATCTGGGATGCTTGAGTATGTATAGCTGTAGTTTTCTTGGGTTTCCTGAGGCATGATCTTGAAAGGTTAAGGAAGTTGGCTAGGTTTGCATTTTTCCATACTTGGTTCTCCTGTGCTCTTTCTCCTTTCCTACTGTCTTATTTAGCAGCTTTTGTGGAATAGAGAAAATGTGATAATTTGTAATTTTTTCAGTGCCTCTTATTTCTTGATCTTAATCCGTCTCAGCAACCAGGATAGGACCCTAGGATGAAGCTAGCTGAAGATGCATGGGAGAAATCACATTTGGACTGTAAAGCTTTTAGTGATATAAGGTAAATTATAGAATCATAGAACAGTTGGAAACAACCTTAAGATCATCTCGTTCCACTCCACCTGCCATGGGCAGGGATGCCTCACACTAGACCATGTTGCTCAAAGTTCCTTCCAGCCTGGCCTTGAACACTGCCAGGGATGGAATGTTAACCACTTCTTTGGCCAACCCATTCCAGTGCCTCACCACCCTCACAGTAAAGAACTTTTTCCTTGTATCTGTCCAATGAAATGCAAATGCATTTTTTTGCAATGATAAGAACTAAGAGTCTAGGTTAACAAAAGATTTTGCAAAGAAGCAAAGATGTTACTGCATCTCTGATTAATATCTATTTACTCCCTCGGGAATCTTGCACAAATAGGATAAGGTATACCAGGCTTCCCTTGCAGCTCGTATTTGCTTAGAGCTTGTATAGCTCAAGATCATAAGAGGTGCAGATCTTACTTGGGAGGAGTATTCCTCTGTGCATCTGAAAAGGGCTTAGACACCTTAAGAATCCACTTCATTATGTTTAAGAGCAAAAATATAGAAACAAGGGCATCTAGCATGACTATGTATAAAAGGGCTTTAATTTGAGATCTGGGATTTATTTACTCACAACATAGGCTCATACTCCATTCTACTTTGTATCACCTAGCTATCATTGACCAAACCACCTTTTTTCTGAATTTGGAAGAGGGATAACCCGATCTACACCATGATGTGGGAACCAGTTCCAATCAGACTGAAAGGCAAATTTGTCTTCTTATTTGTCTTTAAATGTTCTGCAATAGTTTCACACTCTGAAAATCTATTTTCACTGACTTTCTTAAAATGACTCATCTTGTGGGGCAGCATTACCTGTTTGTATTTAATGTGGAGGATTGCCTCTGAGAGCAGATTTGTGGCAGTTGTTCTTTATGCTATCAGTAGATGGGTAGCAGCAACTAGAATTTCAGTGGACTAACAGCATTTCCATTGGATGTGTTTGATCAGTGGAATGTTCGATACTGGCAGGGAACTAGTTGCTTGCTCTTTGTGTTTTCTTTCTCTGCCCCCCCTCCCCCCCCTCCAAAACCAGTCACCATATTGTCCTCCCACCCATAGAGGCAGTCTTGATTCTACAAGGAAATGAGCTAAAATATGAGCACTTTAAATTTTTAGTCATTCCAGGTATCTCCAATTGAGGTCATCCCAGCAATTAGTTAGATGATTTTCCAGAATAACAGGAAAGGGGAAGGGGGCATCGTTCCATTTTTGTTTTCCACTCTGCAACAGTTCAAGACCAGTGCCTGAAGATGGTTAAATATACTTGGTGCATATATTTTAAATGAAATCCAAATCTTACTTATGACAGTATTGATTTCAGTCCAAAAGGCCTAAACTTCTAGTTTATCCATAGAAATGTAAAATCACTACATTCTCACACAGAAATCCACAAAAAAGGGAGCTGATTGGTTTGGAGGATTTTTTGCCAAAATGTGGCACACAAAAGCCAGTTCATACAAGAATTAAGGAGAGATGGGGAAAAAATAGATTTATCTATTCATCCTTTCTCAGTACAAGCATGTTCTCTGTACTGTTCTGTATTTTTGCCAGTCCAGTTTCAAATACTGTAACAATGATGTCTCTCATGCTTCCCTTGGATAGCAAATTACAAGAAGTTCCTTAGTCATCTTTTTCTTTCAGTCTCTGACAGGAGGTTCAAGAGAACCACTTTGTGCCATATTTGTAGCCGACTATAGTATTTTGACCTGGTAGCTGCAGTGTACTTAATCCTAGTATGTTTCTTCAAATCAGTAACATTACCATACCAAAACTAATATGGCTTGTGAGTTACTGTACACAATATCCCTATGTGGTATATTCATAGCATTTTTTTTCTATTATTGCAGTCTTTACTGAGTGCACTGTTTATCAGATTTTATAAGGAATGGGCTTTGCTAATGCCATCACTTGAGTATAATGCTATTACTTGAGTGATTTTACTAAAGTGTGCTAATTTATGGCACCAGAGCAGGTGCTATTGTCTCTACTCTTGGAAAGAAAGGAAAAACCCTTAAATGATCCTGGACATTTATACCTAAAGGAAACAATCCTTTATATTAAAATAAAAAGATTGTTTTGTACTCAGTCAAGGGAATTCTTGGCAGTTGGTTTAAACTTACATGTATATATAGCACACTGGAGCCTGCTAAGTACCTCTGTTTTCTTTATGGATGGAGCTTTGGTGCCAAGAGGTCTGCACCACATACAAGCATAGATATGCTTCTATCTGATGGATTGTCCCATAGTGAACCACATTGTATACAGGATGTTCAAACACGTATTGATTATGTGGTTCTGTAGTTTACAGCACAATCATTACCTGATGCTTTTAAGTACATATATGCAATCAATCTTCATGTGAAGGGGCTCAGTACAAAGGAAATATTTTATGGTATACATTAGATGTTAGATTAAATGACATTAGATTAAATGTATGTTATACATTTTTTAACCTCATCCCCATAGTGTTATTGTGAATCTGTGCAGTTCTTACAAGCACCATCTTTGTGTTGACTATGGACTGTAAATATATAGTGAAGTTCATAGTGTGTATAATGCTATTGTGGTTTTAGTACCAGGTCTCATCAGCTACAAGGGAAAAACTGCATGTGACAGAGATGCAAATTCTTTTATAGGGCTACTTTTATGTTTGTTACATATCTATGAAACTTTCCTTCAACATTGCATTACAGAATAAGAAATGTGTACTTGAGGGGGAAAATTAGCATGTTGATTAGATTTTAGTCCATCGTGCAAATAAAATTGAAACATACATGTTTATAGACTATCTTGCTTCTGGTACTTTGATGTCAGCTTCCAAATGATTATTTACAAAATTTAGATGATTCACCTGCTACTTCCAAAAGTAGAAAGGAATATAAAATTTCTCAAAACTGCCTTATGTTAGAAATTTTGAAAGGGATTATGTTATCTTACAGTGCCTAGCTGTGTAAAAGATGCTTTAGGCTGGTAATTTTTATTGTAAGTTGGAACAGGGGTACTTGAATGCTTCTTCTGGAGCAGCTTTCATGTTCAGAATCTTATTCCAATCTTCTGGACCTGTGAAAATTACAGAAATGTAAATAAGACTATTTGGTGATAATATGGTAATCATCCTATTTACCCAAACAGTTGTGTCTGTGTTCACTCTTAAACTCACATTTTCCAATTGTTCAAATTCCTTTTCCTCTCATTCATTTTTCGTGGAATTTATATGTTGACTGTATGTTGTTATCCCTCATTATATAGAATTTTTAAAAAATGTTGCTGTCACACAGCAATTTCAGAACTCAATAACTATATTAGCTATTTCTGCAACTTGTGTGGTGGCTGTCATATGGCAGAGGAAAAGAGCATGCTTGAAATGAAGTTTTTATGTGACTGGAATTCAAAAGAATACTGTACAATAGGATTTGCAAAACTCCGCAAGCAGCTGGGTTTTAGCCTGTAGATGCATTTGGCCAGTAATGCGTGCAGAAAAGATCTGCAGCAAATATTTGTAGAGAGACATATAAAGAGAATGGCCTGAGCTTGAGTCCCAAACCTTTAGTGGAAGACCCTGCTTATCAAAGGCAAGGCACTCAAGCCGAGATGTGTGGAAGAAGGCTGTTGCACACCACTTCCGTGTGTGTTTGCCCAAGAACAGGAAGCCCATCACCCATTGTGTCCTCCACCACTGAGTTATAAAACCTGCACGTAGTTTTATAATAATACATACAGTGATACGTAATGTTACTACATGCATGCTGTTGTCGTAATCCTGCAGTGATGGTGCTTCATGCAGATATATGCAGACAAATACAAAAGCCTCCATCTAGGCCTGATCTGTTAAGTAAAAGTATAAAATTCACTGCATGTGACGTTTCATACCATAATGACCACTGTGTAAGTATACCTGCACAAGAATTCTAATCAGCAATGTGGACTCTTACTCACTATTCACCATTACTGCAGGAAACTGAAATTGGTGTTTAAGAAATAGTTTGATTTAGAAATAACTTTTGTAGTTTATACAAGCAAATTTGATATAACTTGGGTCCCCCACATGACTTCATTGATGTATTTCTAGGCTGTGCAAATAGCCATTATTTTTCTAGTGTCGTTAACTTTGTCTTTTTGCCATGGTGCTGTTGTCATATCTTCTTCAGTTATTAGTTGCTACAATGAGCAGTAAAGATATTGGTGACTGAAGATGACTGTGCTGTAAATCTATTAAGTTCCATTACCATCTCATGTTTCTTTTTCTTTGCATTTTCTTACCTGTAACATAAAGAGTTATGGAAGGAACAACCCTAAGATTAATGATAACTGGCTGATTTTGTTTCCTAGTTTCATTTTTCATTACTGAAGTTATCCAATTTAGGTCACAGAGTTATGTTTCTAAAAGAGATGTTTGAAATCTAAACTTGGATCTGTCTCTATAACAATTATACATGTATTTTAAAGTCTGGATTACTTGAAGCTATGAAAACACACTTTTAATCTTGTAAAAAGACAGTGCGTGTATGTCATCTTTGCTAGGTGGTGCACACGAGGGTCTCCAGCACTTGGGTCCTTATGGCAATATCCCAAACATTGTGGCTGAGCTGACAGGAGATAATGTACCAAAGGATTTCAGTGAAGACCAAGGATATCCTGACCCTCCAAATCCCTGCCCTATTGGAAAAACAGGTAATTCTGCTGTGGCCTTCTCACTGTACCTCTTTCAGTCTTTCAGCACTGTACTAAGTAGTACAACAGTTGATCAGCAGTGGATGTTTTCTTCCGTTCTCTACTCAAGGAGCAGAACTGTTGATCAATCCAGGTGTTTTAGATAAGCTTTTTTTTTTTCTTTTTTTTTTTTTTTTTTTTTGTTAATATGTGCACCTTCTGTATTGCTGTATGAGTGCTAGAGAAGGTCAGGTGGAAGAAATCTTCTTGACCTTGGAGTAGAAGATAGTGAGATTTACGATAGTGTTTTGTTCCTGAGGGAGTTCATTTTTAGGCTGGCCCCTGAAAAATGTTATCATTCTGTACAGATGAGATTTACCCTTATTTTAGAGACTTTCATTGTGCCAAGAGGAATGAAACTGTCTGCCCTGATCTCCAATCCAGACCATAAGTCAATATTTAAGATACTTTGGCTCCAATCCATGTGGCTTTATAGCTCACTGAGGGTGCATTTGTGCCAAGAAACAGAACGACGTGGACATACTCCAGCGCACTGCACGGAGGGTCACTCTGGCAGAGGAGCAGTGCAGCCTTGGAGTGCGGAGCAGTATGGTACCCGAGATAACCCAGTTCGTCCCTCAGCTTGCAGCTGTGCATACACCAAGGCGTGCTTGGATGGCTTGTGTTGAATGAAGGATGTCGAAAGCAGCACTGCATGTGCATGATAAAGGCATACCCTAAGGGAATTGATCTTTTCCCTGTTATTTGAGCCAAGGAATGACTTCCAGTTCTGAAAGTAGTAGTAAAATACCCATTGGCTGCCTTGGGAGCTGAAACTGGGAATGAGCACTCTATTTTTCTCTTTTTTTCATTTGTGAGCTAAGAGATCCTTTAAAAATCTTTTCTGTTTAGTCTTCTTTTATGTTATTTGGATAATGCAAACCAGTTGTCTGTATTCTTATTAAAAATGTTCTAACTAGCTTAGAATTGATTTAAAAAAAAAAAAGACATGAAAAGTTTTGCAAACTGTGTTTTTATATTTCATTCAAAAATATGACAAGATTTTGAATAGTCCTCCCTTACTGTTTTCTGTTACAGCCTGTTTAGTGATGATGCCTGCATCTCTTCTGAAATATCTAATCTTCCATTTTGTTCAATATAGCTGTCGCCTGACAGGTTGCAAATGATGGGTTTAAGTTTTCTCTCACACCAGACTTTTCTGTGCTTGCCCATTAGACTTGTTAGTGATTAGATAAATAAATTTAAAACCTGACATCCAGAGAAATGTATTTGAAAATCCCTTCAATTTTTCTTTCTTAGTTGAAATAAAAGTTGTTATTAGCTATTAGCTAAGCTAATACAGTCAGATCTGAACGCAGGGGGAATTCACGTGGAAGTGGTGCCTGCTAGGATAAATGGCTCTGTTGTAGGTACTCTGGGAGTGAAGATAGTATCTACTAGGATTAGATTAAAATGTTTTTCAGAGCCTTAAATGGAAATTCAAGTGGTGACTGTATTATGCATACAAATTACCAGAGGCCTTCCTCAATCAGGTCTGTGGATTTGCTTAATGGAAAACAATTTTTCCAGTCACTGTCTGCATATGCACATTCCACAGCAGGAATACATAAGCCTGGAGCTCTTGAGCTTGAAGACTTTTGAATTAGCAGTCACAGAAGACACATATGTCCAGCTGCCCTTTGTGTTTTCTACCAAAAAGACACAGATGCTCTGAGAAAGTCTACCACATTTCTGTTGTCACCTGCTTCTCTCTTGCAATGACCTTGTCCTTGCTGAGACTGAAACATTTTTTAAGTGCTTGTGACCAAGTTTAACGGTTTCTGAGTTGTTTAACCACTGTGGTTAGTTTCCCCGTTTCCTGTTGGGAAATTTCCCCCCCCCCCCCCTCCCCGTTTTAAGGAGAAAAGAGAGAAAGCAGGATCTCTTGCACTTAGAATAACCTCTTCAGGTCATTAAATCAACTCATTTTTAAGTCAAGTCTTTACTGTTTCCCACATCTAAAGGAAAAAGATAATCCATCTGCAGATCTTTTTACATGAGGATACACAAATACAGAAAAGAAAGTTCACAGGTGTCCCCTCCAGAGTGCCTGCGTTCTGGCAGATGTAGCTGCTTGGATGCCCAGTGTCATGCTCCATGGTAGGATCTCGTTGGGTATGTCTGAGAAGAACTAGGACTGCAAGCTCCCCATGTTGACAAAGCAGAGGGAGGTCCACAAGCAGACTGTATCTACAAAGCTTCTCTGGCCTCAAGTCACTGAATCTTTCTTTAGTCCAAAGATGATTGTTGGTAAAAAGAATTTTAAAGGGTATTGTCCTTGAAGTGGCACTGTCTGCAAAACCATCCACTGTGATTAAAGGAGGTTTCTGGACCCATCAGTTAGTTACCCATCTGCAGAAGTGTCTTCAGCATAAAACTTCTGCCACATTGCAATTTTATGAGCTCTTATGATGCATAAATGATTTTCAGCCATTTTGAACAAAGTAGCAAACCAGAAATGGAATTCATGAAGAGCCACTTAGTGAAGGAAATTCTGTCTTCGCTCACAGCATTGTTTTACCATGAGCTTCAAAAGTATTGCCTAAACAATTTCTAAAGCTTCCTTTGGGCATTTAAAAATGAAAAGAGGATCCGATCCTTTCTGAATCAGAATAACATGCAGTTCTATGTAAAATCAAGCTCAATCACTAATTTTAAAGGAATTTTTTTTTTTTTTATTTAAAAAAGACTGGGAGAGCTTGGAAAATAAATTTGTTCAGTTTTGAAGTCTCTTTAAGTTCTGGTTTTGGTTTTCTTTTTGTTTTTGTTTGGTTTTTGGTTTTTTTTTTTTAGTTAAGTATATCCTGACAAACTCCTTTTAAAAAAAAAATAATCGGATGTTTTCTAGTCATCCAGGTTTTTTGTTTTTTTTTTTAATTTTGATTGCATGGTTGCATTAAAGAAGTTTGTTGATTAATGTGGTACATAGTGCTTTCTAACATACTTTTGCAGTTGATGATGGGTGTCTAGAAAACACCCCAGACACAGCAGAGTTCAGCAGAGAATACCAGCTGCACCAACACCTTTTTGATCCAGAGCATGACTATCCCAACATGGGCAAGTGGGTAAGTACATGCTGTGTGATTATTTTTGTTGCATGTGAAACTGGGTATTGTCTGCTGCATGGGGTACTGTGAAACCACAAAGAGAATATTGGTGCTTATTGCTGGAAAAATCAAGGGAAACTTCTTTAAAAGATGGACTTGGCCTTAAAAATATAGGAATAATGACTGTGGTTGATAGGTGAAAAGCCCATATAAAATAGAAATCCTCCTCTCATTACCTGTCCCAAAGCACAACAACTGTGTGTGAGCTTGATAAATGCAGCAAACCACATTTCAAACTACAGTAAACATGTAATTGAAATTAGTCCAGAATTTAGCACAAGGCTTCAAAACATAGCAGGTCCCTAATTTGAAAGATTATCCAGGTTCAGTGACTGTTCACTGTTCAGCTACTTAGATACTAAAAATAAAGAAAGAAATGGAGTGCAGCAGCGCATGAACACCTTAGAAAAATCTTGGTTCAAGCAAATTGGTCTGAGGAAGCTCTCTGGCTTAAGGATTTTGGAGGACTGATGCTGCTTCTTCCTCTATTCAGGTTGTGCACTATATTACATTAAAAACCTGTCGTCTTGCACATTGCATATAATAAAGATGGCAAGCTGTGCTAAGGTCAAAAATCTTGCTCTGAGCATACAAGGATCTTAATAACTGCAGCTAGACTATTTCTGGAGGGTAAAGGCTCCAAAGTGAGCTCTGCTGCTTAATCTTAGATTACATCAGTCAAATGTCCAATCCCAAATCCATCTTCAGGCGCCAGGAAAACAATAGCAATGATCATAATTTATGCTTCTACAGCAAATCACAAAATCTCATTTTATATTGTTATAACGCTTTAACAATTGAAGATTGCCCTAAACCAGTGCTCTGTAAGCATATATCGATAAATGGACATGCTTGGCAGCCTCTGCTCCTGCTGTAATTGTGAGACAATGATTCATCATTCATAATCAAACCAGTGAAGATTTATAGTCTTAATTACTTATGTGAGTGCTCAGTTTCTAGAGAGAATCATGCCAAATATCCAAATTTTGGAAACTCTTGTTGCATTCTAAGTAATTACCATCAAAGGTTTTTATTTAAAAAACACCAGATGGTGAATTTTCTTATTTATGCCAGACAATGCTGTTATTTTTCTTATTATTCATAAGTAATTTACTTTCATAATACCATTTGAAGACTGTAAAAGCACCTCTGTAAATCTTTGGCCTGTAGCAATATTTCAGAATCAAGCATACATACGGCATTGTCATCAGCAATGTATACGCTTAACAAATTGTAGGTGATCATTAGTGAATACTGGCCTTTTTCATTTCTCCATCTATCACTACTAATTCAGGGGAAAAAACACATGCATGGATTAAAACAGACTGTTAGGTACTAAACAGTAATCATATCTAGCTGCCGCACAGCCAGGTACAGATCTCTTTAATTAGAGATGAAACAGCTGGTAATGTGCATGAGCAAATGTTCTGCTGAGATCCAGGAGAATTGCCCCAGTTGCCTCCTCATTGTATATTATTACACATTAAAAAGATAAATACAACCGTATCTGGTTTTATGGCTGGTTTTGTTATTTTTATCTCTCTAGAAAAATAAGAGCAGAAAAACATTCTAAAAATTAGCTGTTTGAGGCTTTATAAATAAGAGATAAAGTAGATCAGATCTTTTAGGTCACTTACTGTCATCTGGGTTAGGTTGTAAATGACCAACAGAGCCAACTTGCGGGCTGCTCAGCGTGTGACTGTGCATCCTCGTCCTCCCACTGCCCCCAGCCACCAGAATCCCCTCTGTCCACTAGCAGGCTGTTCCTGTGCAGAGCCTAGGACCAAACGCCCCAGGGACTGTAACGGCTATGTATTTACAGACTGCATTTCCATGAACTCCTGCGTGCTGTGAATGCACTAGGCTGTCACCACCGTCTGAGGCCCTTGGAGCCAGAGTGTCTCCTGGACCCATGTGAGCTGGCATGTGCTCACAGCTCTTGGGGGAGCTTCTCCCCTGCCTTTTCCTGCCACAGAGTGGTTGAGGCAGTGTTACAGCTCCCTCTGACTTGTCCTTTCAAGGAGCCAGCACGCATTCCTTAGAGTAACCGCAGTAAAATCCAGATTACATTAGCAGGTCAGGGGAAGAAAAAACCCAACAACTAAAAGACCTGCTCGTTCATGAATAATGGCAAAGGAACAGGTTGGTTGATTTGTTTTTGGTGACAGGCTCTCATGCTTGCAAAGCTGTGGGAACTCTGCAGTACCCTGTGAATAGTAGACATGTAAGGGTAAAACTAGTATAGAAGCTGTCTCGTACAGGAAAGTGTATGATTCCATGTAGATGAGAAATATTACATGTAGATACATGTACATACATAGGATGATACGATATATGAATCATAACAAAATGTATACTGGGTTAGGAGGGGGAAGAAAGAGGAAGAATTTTCATGTCTTTGGGACAACTTTCCAAATATCAATATGCTGCCCTGTGGGAAGTCCTGGGAACAAGTTATTTATATGGTGAGATAATTAGCTTATACTCTCTGCTAGCCCAAAGACTTTTTATTTTCTTTTTTCTCCTCATACATGGAAAACCTAGAGGGGATAGTGGGACTAGTAAGATAAGGAACTTTTGGAAGCTTATACCCTATTGTGTAATTATAATTTTTAAGATTTATGTTGTTTGTTGGTTGGTTTGGGGTTTTCTTACCTTCAGTTCAGACTTTTCCTTGCAAGAGACAAGTACTTTCCATTTGAGTCTGCCTTTTCTGCATCTTACAATTTGACTCTTTAGATAGTCTGAAAAAGTGCTGTTGGCATCCAGAAAGACTTGCAAAAAGATAGCATACAATATACAATTTACAGTACAAATCTGAACCCCACTTATGTGTAAGTTATTTATTGGAACTCAAAGTGTTAACTACTACTACATGTAGGGGTTAAAAAGAGGAGGGCAATTCAGCTGTGGTTTTTGACACCAGTATCAGTACAAATGGAAAATTAAAAGCAACTGTGTTTTTCAGTAACATCTCTTTTTACTGAAGCAATGGCTAACACTTCATTTTAAGTGTAGAAATAATGCCAGTTTTGCTTATCAGCTACACAGAGGCATACAAGACACTGCAAAGAAAGGCAAATGGGAAACAGCGATAAAAATATTTGACAAAGTTGAAATTCTTGTTAAAGAAGTTATCGTCTCTGGCTTCCTAATTTTAATGGAAACATGAAGCTAGTTATTCAGATTTAATTTTAGTCCACCTTCAGTTACAGTGAGTAACAGTAATTCTTCTTTACCAAGTATCTGGATGTTAAGGGTGATTATTAGGAAAGGTTATGGTAGGTCTTCAATTTGAGACAGTCCAGCTTGTTTAATTCAGTGTAATATGCTTGGTGTAATAAAAATTGTTGTGCTTGATATACTGAATAAGACTAAATTGCCAGAAAAAAAGCCCTTCTGAAAGGATGCAAGCTTGCTAATGCAGTTTTCTTTTTCAGTTTTGCTTAATAATTGTGCAGGTCCAGATTAAAGAGCTGCCAATTATCAATGATTTAAAGCTTCAGAGAAGTCTGAAAGATCTAAGGGTAACTCTCCCTGACATTAGTTGGTTAGTTGTAAGCATTTTAATTTCTGGGTTTTTCCCACCAAATCCCAACCTGTAGCAGCCTAATCCAGGAGGGTGCAAAGGAAGCTCTAGGGCGAGGGGAAAGCAGCAATTCACATGCAGCACATCTCCATATGAGGTGTATCTTTAGCTGGAGAAATTCTGCCTTAAGTCCTAACAACTTCTAAGTGATGGATGAGAATGGTGAGCACTTCATGGGCAAATTTTGGTGCCTGATGAGCGTGGGCCCTTACGCAGTGGAACATATTTTCAGGATTGCTATTACCGCACAAGAATACTCTTAGCTCATGCTCAGTAACCTCATTTGCTTTGCACTCCACATAACGCTTAAGTAGTAGTTACAGTCTTCAAACATTCCCAAAGAGACTAAACAAAATGCAATCTTTCTGAGCAGGAACAGTTCAATTGTAAGGAATTTTCCTGAGTGACAGAAATCTTAGCTGCAGTAGTCATGAAATTCTTTCTGTTTCAGAACTGCTGTTTCTCTGTGAAAAGTATAAGGTCAAATAGTTTACAGAGAGAGGCTTCAGCAGTGCTTAGTTTCATAAATAGAATAATTTACACATCTGAAGGTTTCTTTAAAATGTTAAATTGGAGTTTTCCCGAAGTCAGTTTGCATAAATGACTAGTCAAGAATGTCTCCCTTGGCAAACTTCATCTCTGTTCCTTTTTGGAACAACTCAGACAAAATAACTGAGGTCAGGCAAGAGATAGGCCTTGTGAATTTGGGGTTTAATGAACATGAGAAGTACAAAATAGACAATTTTGGCAGATTTCATTGTAACACTTGAAAATGTTTGTTTTTTCTCATATCAGGGCTGCAGAGAGCATAGAAGTGTTTGGTGAATTTGTCTTGCACTAGAATTACACTTTCTATTTATATAATCAATGTTAGGTCAGTTGTTTATAGCAGAATTAATGGCCTTGTTTATACAGCGTTCTGCTTTTATACATGTAATTCTTCTCTTCTTCCATTTTCAGGTTAGGGTTTAGTTTTGTTTTTCTTCATAATCCACAATTGAAACAAAATGTGTTGAGCATGTGTGTTATTCCAGACTTTATTAGAATTCACTGCTTGTATGAAATACAACAATATGTGGATGCACTTATGTAAACTATGGTCAGAGGGGTTTTTTGTGTTGTGTTTTTTTCTTCTTCTTTTCTAATCATCATAACTTTCTCTTCTGCCAAGATGTTTTTGGCAGTTTTCAAAAGGTTTGCCATTAAAAATGTTATAGACCAAATGGTTTTTAGAGACTTTATTGAGGGCACTACTTAAACAAAAGAAGAGTTGGCTCTGAACTCCTTTCAGCAGAACTTTGCACTGGAAGTGTTGATATCTAAAATGGAATAAGCTAAGACAACAAAACAGTAGGAATGACGCCAATTGCCGTTTTTAAAAGGAATTATAAAATCCCTTATAAAGCAAATATTTTTGCTTCTGTTCTTGTGTCACCTCAAGTGTATAGAAAGATGGGTCAGAGGCAGGATTCCTGCTCCTATCCTTCCCACTCTTATTTTTCTTTTTTATTTTCTCTCTCTCTTTTGTTTTTTTCGTACCGTGTATCACATGATGGGGAGCATCCAGTTAATATTGTTATACCATTGCGTACGTGAAGCACTTACTGCCTGAACACAGATGATAGGTAATACAGTGCAACATAGTCAATAAGACTGTCACAGCTTCTGAAGAACTGCAGAATGTTACCAGGAATATCTAAATATTTATTTGTGGTTTATCATTTCTATAAAATTACACACCCCTCTAAACTTGGTAATATTTAACAGCAAGAGTTATATATTTTTAAATAAAAGTGTAATGAATTTGATGGCTGCATTTCTTCTCCTTCCAGAGCAAGAACTTACTCTTTGAGAAGATTAATGGTGGTCCAAAAAGAAGAAAGAGGGTAACTATCAAAATACTTTACAACCTCTGTGTCACCTAGAGAGCTAATAAGAATTAATATCATGCTGTTGAAATGAAAAATTAGTCTAATGCTTCTGCATTATACCTTAGATAATGTGTAAAGTCAGGGAATCTCTGTGAAACTACTACAGCACGCTTCAGGACTGTATGCCGAGTACAAGATGTATTTCTCTAAATAGCCTGTTCCTTTCAGAAGATGCACTTCAGTGCAGAGCATTAATTTAAAAAAAAACTTATATTAGCTGTTTTTTAAAATCTATATTATTTGCGTAAAACCATTTAAAATTATTTAAATGTCTTTAAAACATAATCTAAGTTTCCTACTAAAATATGGGTAAAATTCATTATCACTACCCATGCATGTGGATATGGTTTTGGGTGTAAATGACAGTAGGACTGGTTAATTAGCTGATGTAATTTGATTCACCTACGTACTTAGATTTACCTCAGATGAAACTCCTGCCTTTGTGTCCCACTTGCACAAAAGACAAAGATGAAGGCATTCTCATCTCTCAGCCCCTGGAAAAGGAAGGCAATCCATGTATCACAGAGAAGCTCTGTGCACTCCACCTCAATATCACCTCTCTTTTTTGTAGTGTCAACCTTCCTTTTCTCAAAAATCACTCTCAAGCAGAGTCAAGTCTTCAGCTTTGTCACTGGTATATATATGTATTTTTTTAAGAGAAAGCCTAGCTCTCTGCCAGAAAGTAGCCTTTCAGAATATGACGGCACAGTTTATATTTTAAATGGAGTAAATTTGATTTAAAATAACTGAAACATTTATTTATTTAACTCTCAAACCTAAAGCCTTTGCTAGAACGGGAGAAGATGAGTTCATTTCTTACCAATTCACATACTGCTGGCAATAAACACTGTTCAGCTGTAAATTAATGATCTATCTTCAGCTTATTATCTGATTCCCACTTACGTTTGATTTTCAGTTTTGTTAGCAGAAAAGGAAAAAATAGGAACCTGATTTTCACTCTAAAGTCAGTAGAATTTACTCTGGAAATAATTATTTGGATTATTTATTAATAGCTAGAACAGCATGTTAGAGTAAGATTAGAGCAGCAGCAGATTTATTTTCTTAGCACAGGCATGTCAATAGTAAATTCATTATAATTTAAAGTATTTTATTGTTTTGAGAGTAATACTGTTAACAATTGCTAATGCTTTAATGAACAATTCAGAGTTTTTACTTTGTCAGCAGAAGGGTAACTGAGAGCTGTCAGCATCAGAGTGTATTTTTCCAGAAACCAAGAAGATCGCTGGGTTCCCCTCCTGCCTTCTGCAGCCCCTGCCACTCCTCCATGCCCTTCTGCACTGACAGAGAGGTTAGGGAGGTTAGCTTCCAGCAACAGATTGGTCTTTAGGGTCAGAATGTCTGTATTTCAGCTTAAAGCAAGTCCTGTGCAAATGTGTCCAATGTAACTGTGTTGTATCTATACGATGCTATAGATACAGAGTAGTCACAGAGGCACTATTGGTGTCTACAAAACTACATATATTCTGTGTGCATATAAACACACATACTAACATACATATACACAAATGACCAGTATATGTAGCAAAGGTATGTATTTATTGTTTGCTACTGTCTTTTTTTTTTTTTCTGGCAGTATTTGCAGTGCCCAACAAGCAAGCCTATGGGGACCCCTAATTTAACTAACAGTTCTCCCCTGTTTAAAATATCTATGCATGAGCATAGCCCTGTCCAGAATCTATTATCGCAGACATGACAGGAGTGCTTCTGTAATCACTGAGTCACATTGCCGTGGGCTCGGAGCTGAGCACGCAGGTACCTGGGAATCATGTTACTTTGAATTCAGCACAGCTGTATAGGATTAAAAATTTCTTAGTGAAATCAGCCAAAAATTTTGCATTTTATTATGTGTTCTCTTTTGTCAGTTGAGAATTCAGATTTTTCTGTATTCTCATTCTCTTCCCTTTAGTTAAAAAAGTAGCAAGTACCATTCCATAAAAAAGACCAATTCATCTTCCTAAGAATCTTCAAATAATTCCTAGAAGTTTATGCAACAGATGAATTTCACTAAATTAACATGAAACAGAACTTCTTTAAACAAACACAAACAAATCATTTACATGTGTCTTATTTTTAACAATTTAAAGCATTAAATTAGTGTTTTGTTTTCAAAGATTTTTCCACATTCATTTCTGGTTCTTAATATTTTTATGTTTTTACTTGCAGCAAGCAAAGCACTCAAAAAAACAACAGAAGCAAGCAGAAAGGCTGCTCTGTGCTATGATTAGGTATTAATGATAGCATTTACAAATCTGGAGAAACCCAAGGTTTTAAGCTTGAAGAGAAGACAAACCCCAAATCTTTTCCAGAGTTTCGACAAATACTTAGGATATTTGAAAATAAATATTTCATGCCTATTTTAAAAGTTGGGGATTTTTTCTTTTGTTTTCCATAGTTTTGAATTCCTACATTTTGGGTAAAGAAGCACAGAAATATCCTAAGTAATATTTGCGATACAACCAGCCTGACAAGAATCAGGAAAATTTGCATTCCTCCAAAGTTTGTCCTTAAGCAAACAATTTTTATTGGCATCAAAACCCAGCACACTGGAATTTTTGTCTATATCTGTGAAAGTATATACTTGAATTTTATTTACACTGACACTGTAACAGGCCAGAAAGTGGGTGTAAATAATATTTAAGTTAATTCTGAAGCTCCACTAAACTGCTTGATACTTGCAATTACAGTAAATGCATTTTATTCCATTGCTACAGATAAAATTCAAGCATAGACATTCTACATTACTATGATCTCCAAACAGTTTTGAGACAGGATCTGTTCATCTTCAGTTTCACGTTGTGCTGCTTGCATGGTGCAAAGTGAAGTTAAACCCTCTCCAGGGATATTCTTTCCAGCCTTCCCTTGTTCTGGCAGTGGTATGAGAGCTATTTCCTATGCCAAACCCTTGCTTGGCTCTGCTTCTGTGCCAGCACTTTTTTATCTCGGTATCAAGAGAGGAAGCAAGGAGGGGTTTCCTGGAGAAGAGATGGGCTAAAGAAGAGACTTTGGTCAGAAATGGTATCATGGTATCTAACTTGTCTCCCGGCATAAAATTCGTCAGAGCCTAAAAAGCTAAAGCTTACTTGTACTCTTCAAGCAAGTTCCGTCCTGCCTCAGGAATTAGGGAGTGAGTTCTGTTGCTGCGGCTTCTCTGTAGTAGAAGTGGAGCAAAAAGCCAGTGTTTAATTCAAACTGTCCTTTATTCTCGATTGTTCTCCTTCACTTGTATCCTTTTTAGTGGATAGGATTAAATTCTTCACAAAAACTAGTAGAAAACGAATCATTGATTGACTGTCAGATTTGCTCCCTGGGAGTAATTATTTTTGTTTTTCTTCAGTGTGCAAGTATTTGACAGATAAGAAATACATAAATAGATCCATGAATCCTAGTCACCTTTTGTATGTTTCCCTGTTTCTAATAAGTATACATAATTTTAAACTTTTTCAGAGTGTGAACCCATATCTGCAAGGACAGCGACTGGATAATGTTGTAGCAAAGAAGTCTGTCCCACAGTTTTCAGATGAAGACAAGGGTCCTGAATAAGTACAGTAAAAATGAATGATGAAAACTCATGCCATCCTCTGCTAGATCATAATATTGCTTATATATAATCATCTATTAAAATCCTTGTGAATGGCAGCATGTTTATTATTTATGTAATTGTAGATGAAAAACAGCTGTATTTATAACAGTATGTTCTCCTAGATAACAAAAATATGGTTCTGCTTTTTGTTAATTTACGGTAAAAGGACATTTCTGTTGTTTTTATTTTAGTCATGGAGCAAACTTAAAAATGTTAGTCATTTTAATAGCTAACGTGAGGTAAATGGTCTTAATGAGCAGCTTGTAAATAGGAAGATGTAAAAAAATGCCCAGTCTGACTCCAACATTTAATCTTAAATGTTACGATGTTTGACACATGAAAATTATAGTTTTATGTTTTGTTCACAAATATTGTTACTTAGCAAAGACACAGTATTTATTTTACCCAGAGAATTTTGGCTTTTGGTCCATTTTAATAAACATTTAAGCAATCTACAAGGTTTGCAAAGTGACATTTTCCAAAATATTTCAGAGGCTCATTTGTCTCTGTTATTGCTGTGCAAATTTGAAAATTAAAGAACAGCTTTTTGACTCTACCCACTGGAATATTTTTCTGTTAGTTTTAATCGTTCCATGTCCACAACTTTCCTGAACACTTGCACATCTTTCTTCCTTATCAGTGGTACTATTGTGTGGAAATTGATCTCCCCTACAGTTCTTTGTTGTAGTAACAGCAGCATTTGTGCACTATAGCGTTCTTAAATCCTGTGTCCCTGGGATATCATAAGTGAAGATGGAGACACTTGTTGACATAACCTTATTAACACAAACATCTTCTGAACCAAAATCCAGGGTATGAAGGTCATTACAGTTGATGATCTTCTGAAAAATACTCTTATCACTGGTAGCTATCCCTGCTTGTGAAGTTGCTCTGGGAAGCTTAAATTGCTTTTTTTGCCCTTGGAGGCTGAAGAACTTTTCTATTCCAGAAAACTGAGTTCTCCCTTTCTGAAAGACGAGAATATGAAATGACCTAAAATTTTGTTATTTTCAGGGTGCATATGAAATATTTGAAGCCATGTGCATAGGGCACTGAACTTACGGAAAATAGTATTCACTGAATACTGGGAACTTCAGATCTACGGGAAAGAAAAACGTAGTTTCCTTCCCCGTCCTACAGACAGACGCAGTAAAATGATGACTCCTTAAAAAAAAAACAGATGGGAAACTAACAGAAACTCGACGTCCTAGCTACATAAGATTAAAGTTAACAGGGTGGCACAAATATGACTCTGTATGGCATCTGCTTTTTCTATCCCAGCATTTAGTAATTTGTAATAGATTAGGTATGCAGAGAATCGGCCCTCTCACGTCATTTATGGGTAGATTGCAAAACTCCGTAACATTCTAGGCTGAACTATCATGTCTTTCATCATGTTTCCTCTTTAAAGAAGTTCTGGAAGAGAAAGCTAAATAGTATGCAATGCAGTGGGGTTTATACTCACACATGACAGAAAATTGAGGAGTTTATGTCAATCATAGAGCTAATTCTGCTTCCAGTGCCTAGAATGGGATGGGAGTAATCCAGCTGTTCACACAAAAGAACTTGTACTTTCAGCTTCTTAAACTTATTCTTTATTTGCACTCCTGCTGAGTCTTCACACAGGTACTGAGAGTTACGGAGTTGCAAAGGTTGTCTCCAAAGCCAGGAAAATCCCTATATATCATGGCATGAGTCTGAAATTAGAAGCCACTGATGCCCAGTGGCTCAGAATCCATAAAATGGTTATTCCTTCCCCCTAGTCCCCCAGACAGTCCCTGGATGCTGCCACAAGGCTTCCAGTTGGGCAAAGGTTTGACTTCCATTCCTAAGAAACTGGTATTTCTTCAGACACTCAACTGTCTTACCAATACTTTTAAAGTAATCTGAGCTATGTTCTGTCCTTATTAGCTCCAGTAAAATCAATTTTAATCACAAAAATGAAGCAATCATGAAGGCATTTTGTCTTTTAAACTCTCACTAAGGACAAGCACACAACAAAATATGTATACAATGAACAGCAGGCTTGAAAAGGAAGGGACAAAGAAATATTGCTTGCTTAATAGTATCAGAAACCCCATGTCTGATTTCCAAAAGCACTTCAGATCACTACACCCCCTGGATGGGGATGTGATAATCCAGCACAGCAAACTGACCTCAACAGGGATCCTGGTGGCTGCTGCGATCCTGGCAGGGCCTGAAGAGCTGCCCTTCTGTCTATGATAACTCTGCACAGAGCAGGCAAAGGAAAAATTACACAATTTAGAGACAGTTTTGTCTTTGAAACTCACACTGTACAACACAATGATGCGTCTTACAGGAACTGCCTGCTGAAGAAATCAAACGCGTAGTGGTGAGCAGCCATCTGCTGAGTCGATAAGGCAGCCTTGAGTATTTCACCAGGAAAACTCAACACTACTATTGTGAAGTTTTAAAAATATATAGCTATTACACCATGATAATTAGATTAATTATTCTCATTTCAGCTTCATAATAGAGCTGCCTTTCTGTGCTGGGATTGCTAGTCCCATATTAATTAAAAAGCAAACAAAAAAACCCCATCAAAGTTGTCCCTCCTACTGCTCCAACAACAGTCCAAACATGTATATATATATATAATATTTATAGAGAATCATTGCAGTGATGATCAGTACTGGTCTTCCAGAATCACTAAACAAAGATACCAACTTATTAACTTATTAACAACCCTTATTAAGAGCTCACTCCACCAAAACAGTATTTACAAGAATGTAAATGGCTGCTTAGCTCTTACAGGTGCAATCACGCTCTTACATTTATGATGCATGTGAATTAACGAGCATGTATATTGCTATTGTTTAGAATTTTCACTAAATTAAAACCTTTTAAAATTATTTTAAAGTCTGCAAGTGTGTTAATTACCTCTAACGTATTTGAGACACAATGTGCTTGAACAAACCTATGCAAAATAAAGTGTATTGCCATGCAACATTGGTTTTGTCTGGTAAAGAAATATTTATGACCCTAGTTTAAATAAAAAAGTACTATGCAACTGAGCAGTTTATAGGATTTGCTTTGTGACACAAAACTTACTGTGGAGGTGCATGTTTATATACATACACACTAACATATGTACACTTTTTAAAAGATAATACAGGCTTATAATAAACTTGGTAGTAAAGAATATAAAGTTGTCAGCCCACAGAAAAAAGTAATATAAAAACGCTTAGTGAATTATTTAGGAGGGGAAATGACAATGTGCTTCTTTTTATTGGCACATTTGCATTCACCTAACAAAACCATGCTGCTAATCTATTCAGCAACTGTTGTTTTGTTTTGAGCAAACAAAAAAACTTGGAACTAGTTCTGTGAATCTGACATCAGAGTCCCAACAGTCATTTACAGGGCTGTAAGTAAAGCTGATCTGAAGCTTATTTTATAATCTACGATGAAGTGTATCTTCATTTCTTAAATGGAGAAAGAACACAGGCAGAAAGACAGCTACCAAGTCAATTAAGTTTTTGGCTTCGTTATGGACAAAGTAACACTCAAGCCCTTTTGTTTCCAAATGTCAGGAGCTGGGGATGAAGACGACTATTTTTTGATGATGAAGACAAACTTGAGTCCATACCTTCAAATCAGGCCTCTAACGAGTAGCTGTGTGAAAGTGTTGAAAAGGCTTTGTTTTCATTTTCATGCTGTACAAAACCTAATTTTTTAATATTTAAATTTGTTAGGAAAAGCCCGTAACACCAACCCAAACCAAACTTGGAATCTTCTGGTCTTATTGCTGGTAAACTCACTAAAACAACTCTTACCTCATTTGTAATGCTGTAACTCATGCCCTGGGACTTTTTATGCAAGTATGTCTTTTTTACATGCAACTCTGGAATGTCTGGATCATTAGGACAAAGAGTTTAAAGATAACTTTTCAGCCAAAGTCACAGACTCAGATGTATGGAAGAAGAATGGGAAGATACATAGGCAGATTCAGAAGATGCTACTATGACCACATAAAAACTTAAAATATACAGGGAAAGTGCAGTTTCATGTGACCCATAGAGGAGATGAGTCTGGCCACTGCCTTAATAGCTACATGCACTACAGGTAACACTTAAGGCACCTCTCAATCCAAGTCAGAAGCTATCAAGGCAGTCAGAGAATCAAAGGACATTATCTCCAATTCTGAGACACCTGATTCCAAAGTTTCAGGCTAGTGGATTTGACAATTAAATTGAATTATATTTCCATCATGACTGATAGAAATAGGATGGCAATCTGATATGCCTTAAAGAAATAACAGCAGCAACAAAACCAAACAATATATAGGATCCATTGCCACATGTATACATATGCATACACTTAAAAATTCAGCTTTGTTTGAAGTCATGCAGTTACCGTAAAAACTCTTAAATAAGTATCATGTTCAGGAATTACCTCAAATAATATGTCTTTTTAAATAAAGCATGGCTGTGTCCCTTAAAAGATCTGCCTTTTTGTGGTGCCTAGAGCAAATGAGATTCCAACCATGAGCAAGGACGACAAGCTCCCTTAAAGTGCTCTGCTGACAATGATCTACATACATGCACACTAAAAAAAAAAAAACCTAAAAGGAAATGTAGAAGAAGAAAGTGAAATTGCCATCATGAAGGGCCCCATGAATCACAAATATGGCTGACTGGCCCAGGATTGCCAGGTACGAGGCAATGAAACCGGTAAACGAATTATTTTCGAAGTACCTGCATGGTCCAGGTCTATCAACTTTGTTGTTAGGTGAAAAATGACATTGAACTCACATTCATCATCCTAATTCACCATGAGAAGGAAGCATGTAGTATCAGTTCATGTTTGCTTTATTTATGATGTTAACTGCTTTGCTGTGATTACATGGATCCTGACTTGGAAGAGCTGCTAGCCATGTGTTAAACACATGGGAGCGTAACGAACTTTAAATGATGTGAGTGTCATGGCAGCAGCATTACCAACTGGAACTAAAAGAGCTTAACAAAAATTCCTGTTTGACTAACAAAGTCTATTTTTATATGTGGGGCAGAGGTGGGTAAGAGATCAGAGATGGTAGGAATTGAGAATGGCTTCAGATTTTAAAGATTAGGTTGATCTGAGTCACCTCCTTTTATTTTTTCCTATAGTTCCTGTTACCAAAATACATGGAATTCAGCTTCTATTGCAATGCATGGGCATCTTTTATATTTAATCACTGTGTTTCTTCATCCTACCCTGTTCTCCAAGAAAAACAGTGGTGGAGTTGGTGGCTAAATTTCATTGTAAACTGAGTGAGGCAAAGGAGAAAGCACAAAGAAAAACAATGTGCTAGCCTCAAATTCTCCCACATTCCCTCCTATTTCATTTACAGACCATTAAACTTTGATTTTAAATGTATAAACACTGGCTACTTTTATTCACGATATTTGTTCTGAACCCAAATACCACATGGCAACGTAACTTTCCTGGGAGACACCAAAGATCTCTGTTACAGATGACAGGGTTTTTTACGTCCAGGCATCTGAATATTTCTTAGATCATAGAAGGCATGTATGGCTTTGAGGCTGAATTCAGTCTTAGCCTCTTTTAATTAATTCTTTATTCTGAGAAACAAAAATGAACAAACAAAAAAAACCCCAGCAGTTCTTCAGTGCATTATTTACATTGTAATGCTCCAAAGTCCTCTAAAAGTGGCTGAAATTCAAGTGGGACAGCCCCTATGGGGAAATGTGGTTCCTGACTCCTCATCCTAACATATGCCACACTGTGGTATCTTGTATTTCCAAATGAACAAAACAGAGTCGTGGAAGGAGAAGTCAGGTCACCCCAACAGGAACTCATAATTCACCATTGGTTAATTTTTCCTTTTCTCTCTCTTTTTTTTTTTTTTTAAGAAAAAAAAAAAAAGCAGAACACACACACACACACACACAAAAAAAAAACCCAAACACTCCAACCAGTGACTAGCTCAATTGCAAAATTTTAAGTTACTCGAACAGGGAGTGCCATGGCTGTGAGATTTATGGGCTTTAAAGCTGCGTTACTGCAACTGAATTAAGAAACCTATTTTTAATAAACCACTATTGAGTAAACCATTTGTCAATTTAAACAACAGCTATAAGTAATTTAATTCAGTTCTTTAAAAGTCATTGTTATAATAGATAAGCATTGCTGCCATAGTTTATCCATAGACCCTGGTGTCCTGGGTTTAGCAGTAGCAGCCATTTTTTCTCTTTCTTGGTAGCTGGTGCAGTGCTCTGTTTTGACTTTCGGGCTGGGAACAGAGCTGATAAAAATGATCTTTTGGTTTGGCCAAGGACTTTGTGAGCCTCATGCTCTGCCAGGGAGGAGGGAAGCCAGGAGGAAGCAGAGACAGGACACCTGACCCAAACTGACCAAAGAGGTATTCCATACCACAGCACATCATGCCCAGGAGGTAATGGGAGCTACCCGGAAGGACAGGGGGTCTGCTGGGTCGGACTTGTTGTTCTGCGGGTGGTATTGTACTCTTTTCCCTTGTTATTATCTCTTATCATTGTTGTTAGTGGTGGTGGTAGCGGTGGTGATTTGTGTTGTACATTGGTTGCTGGACTGTTCTTATCTCAACACCCGTGGGAGTTGCATTCTTTCGATTCTCCTCCCCATCCCTGTGGGAGCAGGGAAGGGGGGAGCCCCTGGGGGGGGACACAGGCCTCGACTGCTTCCAGCCCGGCACCACTCACTGTGAGTGCACAAGCTGGCTGGCTGGGTTTAAACCAAGACAGTTCTTTTTGGCGCCCAACATGGGGCATGAAGGGGTTGAGGTAACAACAGATCTGACCGGATTAATAGTCACTCGTCACAATGCTGATTTATTGGCTCTCAAAGTTGTTCCTCTTGATCTCGCAGTTTCAGTATATCGTACCTTACTTCCATCCGGTATTTGCTGTATTAGTGTTTTTCAAGTGTGGGGCTTGGGCTAAGGTTTTTGTCTCATTGTACTTTATGGTAATAACTTGTAATACAATAGAATCATTGATCATGAAACTGATCTGGCTTATGTTCCCAGTATGGTCACCACCTTTATATTTTGGGAGGTATATAGTAAAAGTTCTTAGCAATTACACATCTTTTTTCTCATTATCAGGTGGTCAACCTGTGAAGGAGACATTCTTTTACCCTCCCAATTCCCTCCCCAGAGCATTTACAGCATCATTTGAGAGTTTTGAAGTTTTTGAATGGCCTTTTGAGACTTGTTTGGTGATTGTGATGAGGATCACCATGTTGGCATGCATACAGAGTGTATTTTGCCCATGACTATTTCATCTGTTTTAAAAAGTTAAGCAGAGTCAGGTTTGGGTCTTGTCTGGGGTTAAATGAAAATGTAGGAGGACCAAGAGATTTTCTCTGAGGCTGGACAGCCATGAGTGGCAGGGTGTGTGGGACAGTATGGGCAAGTATCTAGGTCAGTGGACCCCTCCAGTACTTTGGAATTTCACCACCTAACAACTGCAAAATCCAGAAGAATTAGTAAAACACTTGAATGAGGTGTGTGGGCATTCTGGCCATACCAGAGACGGACAAATCATGGCAATGTGCTGGGGCTTGGCCTATGCTTACAGGGCCATGTTCAATGCTTTCCAGCACCTTCAAAAGGAAAAAAATGTTGCTGGATCTGAGAGCAAAGCAACAGTCAGTACAGCTTATCCAGCTCCAAGCACAGCAGCTACCCCACCCCCAGCAACAAGTACAGTCACTACTCAAACTTTTGCTGCAATGAACAGCGCAGCTACCCCAGTGGCAAGTACAGCAGCTACTCAAACTTTGACTGCAACAGACAGAGCAGCTACCCCAGCTCCAAGCACAGCAGCTACACCACCCCCAGCAACAAGTACAGTCACTACTTAAACCACAGTGATAATCACTGCAATTAAACCAGAGGACCAATTCGTACCAATATCGGTTGCCCCTGTATGCAAGAGAAAAAGCAAAAAAGAGGCAAGAAGGTTGAAGCAAGATGAAGAAACAATGTATTCACCACCCAGTCTAGAATCTGATCAGGAGTCATCATCAC